CGTGTGAACACACTGCGGAGGGGTCCTACAAGCAGGAGGTCCTGAAGCTGAAATTCATCAGTGTCACAGCAAATCCACTTCTGAGCACACGCCACCCTGCACAGCTGAGACTGTGAAAGGACCAGCACAGAGCTAGGACCTCGCTATTAGGGAGTGCAGAAGGGAAGACTCATTCAGCTGGGGAACACTGTACAATTTTCCCCTCTATCACACTTATTTTAGAACCATTTGAAAGGCCATTTGAAGCAATGGTCCCTACCACTCTGACAACATTACTGTTTAACATTTTTAATTTAGTAGTACTCATCTCACTTGAATCAACTTATTTTAAATAAAGGCTTTCACTGGAATGTTTCATTTCCATTTTATTTGCCAGCCCTCCTTCCCGCCCCATGGAACCCCAAGGCTCACCTCCCAGGTCTGTGACAGGCGGCTGACAGAAGCAGTGTTGAGACCCATCACGATAGCAAAGAAAGAATTCAGGTTTCTCTGGGCTTTGCAGCTGTGAATAAAAGAAAGTAGAGGTTGCTTTGAGGAAACCTTATCATGGGATGATCACAAAAGATAAAGCTGAGAAGACTCTCCTTGGCCACAAAGTTCAGCCTCTCGGCCAGCACTGAACCCTGCTCTGTAGCCAACGTACCCTTCCCCGCCCCTCGTGTTGCTACCACAAAAGTGACTCCAAATGCTTCAGACCATCCTCACCTTTAGGAAAAGATCTGTGCTCTGGACACCCTCCTCACGTGTCACTTGATTCTTTTTTTTTTTTTTTTTAAATCTATTATGTACGTATTTACAATTTCAACTGAACACTTCTAAATTCATGTTTCTTTATACACGCCACACTCTCATTGTGACAGCTCTCTGGTCCCGTCTCTTTCATCAAAATGCTGTTTTAATTTTTTGGCAGACAGGCCCCTCTCACCTCCCAGGTCTATGCTCTCCCTCCTGTTACATTTAGACACATTTTCTTTGCTACCAACAAAATAGCTCCTATATTATGTATATGTTTAAAAGATGGCATATTTTATGGGATACTGTCTTACATTTCTCATTTAAAGAAACAAGGAAATAAAATGCAAAATAAGATCATATTGAGCTCTATTCAATTCATAAGGTTATCCATTCCGGATGACATCAATTGTGCTCAAAAACTTGACTGATCAACATTCCACTGTCCAGCCAGCTGAGGGGCCTCCATATAGCAGAGGGAACTTGGGCTTCCAGAGTAGCCTGTGCATTCCAGACAGTCCTTTATCTGAGGTAAGGCTCTGAAATTAAGAAATTACCCTACCTTGATAATTAAGTATGAAAAAATATGAACGTACTTAGCAGGAAGGGGGCACACAACACGTCCCTAGTGTATGTTAGCTTTCCTCAGAGGCCATCTCTCTATGACATCTCCATCAATGTCTCATATGGATTTGAGAACAGTGTACGTGCAATTCTTTATCCTGCTTTTTCAGTTAAATACCATGTTTTATTACGTACTGTGGATTCCTCACTATCATCATTAACGGCTACATAATATTTCATTGAGAACATATTCCATAATTTGTTTACTCATTATTGCTGACATTTATTTTCAATTCCTCCACGTTGGACAGAACTCAGCAATGAATATCTTTGTGCATACAACTTTTTATTGTATTTATGATTTTTTTCATTAAGTTAGACTTAATCATTATATGGTTGGTCAAAAGCTATGAAGGCTTCAAAGGTTCTTGATATACATTACAAACTGCTGTTCCCCAAAGCTACACCAATTTCTAGTCACACAGGCAATATGTAAGAATATCTAGTTCACAACCAGGAAAATGGTTTGGGCTGTGACAGTGCACAGGAAAATGCACAGCAGCTGTGCTCTGGCTGGTCCACTCCTAGAGTCAGCCTCAGGGACTAGAACTGCCCATGTCCAGCTGCTCCTGGGCTCCAAGCCAGGGAGGCCCAGGCCTGGAAGCACTTTGGAAGTTCTATCCCCATTAATAGTGGACCCGGAAAGACACTGCTGCCTCCACACCTAGTGTTGAAGACACCTGGGGTAAACAGACGTCCCATAGGTGCTTCACCACTGAACCTCCCACCAGGGATGGTCTGTCCCTCTACAGTCCTCTTGTCCAGCTGTCAGCTCTGCCTGTAGTTCCCTGATGAGTGTGAGGATTTGGACCTTAGTCTAATTGAGCCCTTCACCTGGTTTCTTGCCAACTTTATCCTGGGTGGACCCTGCTTGGTATATACCATGAATAAACCGAAACAAGATGCTTCCTGGTCTATGGTTTGCAAACACCCATTTATGAGAATCGCTGCTGCCTAAGACTTCAGTGCTGTGACTCTCCCTCCCTTCTGCTTTATTAGGCCCCTTGAAAGTTCACACTGGCCAGAATAGATGTGAGTTAGCTCCGTCTCTCAACTTGATGTTTTGAAACACCAGGCTCCTCTGCAATGCTCTTGTCGGTAAGAACAGTTTCATCGCTGCGCTAGAAGGGGCTCAGGTGGAGGTCTCTCTTACTCCCTGGTCCTCCCACCTGACTATACATTGGAGGCCCCTGGTTATGTCATTTCCTTCTAAACAGTAGGTTCCTTAAGGCCAGAATAAATGTCTATTTCATTTTTATGTTCTTCCCATTACCCAATTGCCTAGTATACAGCAAGCTTTTTAAACACCATTTCTGGGGAAATGATTTTATTATTATTCATTATTAAAAAGTTTATTATTCCTCTTTTTATTTAGAATCACTTATCTTTATGAAATCTTAGATGTAATTCCCATCTTTTATCTCCCCATAGGCAATTTTCCTGGTCTATATAACTCTCTTTTTTAGTCATACTTTGGGAAAAAACCCACATATAACTAATATCTGAATCTGTTTAAAAAAAGGAATAATATAGACACAATTTCTGTAGAAGACAAATTGATACAGTGCAAATATA